CAAAATTCCAAATAATCAGTGTTGATAGATCAAGACTTACGTATAAAAATTGCGGGATAATCAAGTCTTCCTTGACGAACATCAAATTTTCTGCTACGCTTGTTTTGAGTTCCGTGAATTCTTTCTTGAGTACCTGCGAAAAAAAAAAACAAATTTGTTCCATCCTAGCAATAGAAATCGCATCTTTCAAATTGATAGTTTGAAACAGTCCGCAAACCCTTCGATGAGTTCCAACCAACCTCAATTGCCCACGTAAGAAATTGCGAAATTGTGTGGCCCTTCTTAACCTTGAGATTCTTCCTGTGACTGGAGCCATCCCAGTAAGCAAATGCTACCGTAATTTCCTCATTTTTCTCCCGCTCTTGCTGTGCTTTCCAAATTGCTGCTAGCTCGATTTTCTTCCTATAAAACAGCGAATTAATGAAAAACATTTTACACGATAAATGTTGTTTAAAGTCACCTTTCAATTTCTGCTTCGCGGTCCTTATCCGGGAGGAAACTTGTATCAATTGTTGGATCCATGCCTAACCTCTAAACGGTGAAAAAAGTCATTAGACGAAACTCTACAGTGGTGATATGATAGCAAAATGAAACCTTTTTAGTGATGACCGGCGCTTCTTCTTCTTCCTCCTCGTCTTCGAAAGCGAATGACAGAACACGTTTCTGAATGTTCAGACTTCATACCAAATAAAAGAGTATAACGAGGCCTTCTCTATCAGAAGAAAGAAGAACTAAAAGCAAGAAAGGTGCTAAGTTAGTTGTAGGGGAGGGGATGGACAACGCAGTGGCGCAGCGCTCTCCAATAGGCGTTTACGATTCGCGCCACCGTGCCTAAATACAAGTAAGTGCAACCAACAGACTAAAGCTCAGACTGATGGCCCAGAGTAGCGCGAGTCGGCGACCGCGCGATTCGCAGAAATCGCAAGTACCCATTTTGGACATTCTAAAAACACTGAATATGAAACAATTAAGAACCATGCTGGGCAGTCGTCCATTCTAACATCGCTATCAAGCAGAATTAGCGGCGGGATCGGAGAGCACCTCGCATGATGCGAGGAATTTCGATTTCTGTCATTCGTCGCACGAATCGCGACTCTGACACCAGCTTTAGGGGTGCAGAGACAGAGCGCCGCGTCACCGTATTGCCCCCTTGTCTCCCCCCCCCCCCCCCCGAAAGTTGTGCACAAACGTAGCCATGACTGCACAAAAAGTATAATAAGAAGAAATACGAGAGAAAGAAATCGTGAACTTTGTGAATTAGTTTTGCGGTTTCTTTCAAAAAGCTAAAACATCCAAACACCGGAAACGGCTCCGAAAAGTGGAGAAGATTGTAAATGAAATGTGGAAGCGGAGGTATTTACGTGTAGGCCGCATACATCCATACCAAACGAAAAGCCAACTGCTTTCGTGAGGGTGGACTCTATTTCATCACTAAGAACAAATTTCTACTACCATCACCACTACCACAGTCACAAAGACCATCGAGCTGCAGTTTTTTGTGAAAAGAACGATGGACAGCGTACTTTCCAAAAGTCCAGCTAAACTTTTACGTAAATATAATTAACGAGAATGAGTCATGATCATCAGTAGAACCAAACTCTATAGGCCGGACGCATAGTCGGTCGGACGACAGCAACGACTGCAAGTGTCGCACAGCATTGGGTGCGTATCGATCTGCGACACCTGCGACACTTACGACCGCTGCTGTCGGACGACAGCAACGACCGCAAGTGTCGCATAAACCGCGGTTGCAAATGGAAGGCGACGCGGTAAGTGTCGTAGATCAATACGCAGCTACTATTCCACACTACAGTGGGACTTTCGAAATACGATCACGCGCAGTCACGTGTTGTCTGGGTTAGCATTGGGTGACCGCGTCGCCTTCCATTTGCAACCGCGGTTTATGCGACACTGCGGTCGTTGCTGTCGTCCGACCGACTATGCGTCCGGTCAATACCCTGGTATTTTGATGTCTGAGCAACAAAGCAACCGACCTGCGCCACTTTCCCATCAGCCGTGGAATTTGATCCGCTCCCGTCAGACTTGTGCGCTTTGGAGCTTTCACCACGAACCACTGTCTCTTCTCTTGAAAGATTTTATCGATATACGGGGAAATCATTCAAGATGTACATTACACTGAACAACTCCACCGTACCTATCGTTAATGACATCTTTTCTGCTTCTCACGCATTTCATCTAGGGTTACCAACCCAACTGTTTTCGTCTTGAGGTGTTCTTCGACGGCATCATAATTCGCAGTGAATTTTGAAGTTATTCCGGCCGCTCCTAAAACACCAGCTTACGATGAATTATGTTCTGCTATACGTCGACATGCACGCAAAACAACTCACTTTTGGAAGACTCCTCTTCCATTTTCTTTAGCTGCTGTTCCATATCTTCTTTTGCGCGTTCGCGCTTTTTGACAGATGTATAAGTCGTCCTGCATCTGCTCGCGACATGTTTCCTGGAACATAAATGATTTTGAATAGGGAAGGGTTCCTGCGAAAGACCAACATAGAAGGCCACGAAATTTCTCGAGACAAGCGATTAGATTGAGTCATAGAAAAAAGAATACAATCTAGAAATGTTCTTGGCGCAAGTGCCTCCGGAGGCCAGTCTGTTGAAGCCACTAGGACTAAGCCTAACGCAGAGGGACGAATTCCGGGGCAAATAAAAATCGCATACGCAACTCGGATTCCCTCTTTTCCTCCGAAGCTTAGTCCCAAAAGTAGATGTTTTCCGTGAATCTGACGCGTCCTCCTGGAGCCACACTGCTCCACGTTCTTGAACAAGGTGTCTATTTTATCATAGAGAGACGTTGTTTGACGAAAACCTAATTAAAATAATCTTCCTTGAGAATCTCCAGGAAAAGTTCGAATTACACTATAGAAACTTTAAGCTTGATCCAGACAGTAAACAAGTAATAGACAAAATACAGGTTGCACACCGAACGATTATTTCTACACTACAGCTTTAAACAAAATTCATTCTCACTAAAATTATTCGCGTCTCAACAAGATCAGGCCAAAATAGGGAATGCTCCACCACGGGACAACTAATCTATTCACGATAAGCTGAAAATTGTACACAAGATGAACCAAGCTAATCAAAACATCGCAGGAATACTTCAATCCCATGTTTTCCAAGCGAATTGATTTGAAAGTACAAGGACGGTAATTGCGAAATTCTGTGTCACATCGCACCCGCCGCACTACATTTGACGGCTAATTTGAAGAGCCGGCATTCTCGAACATTCTATGCACCGCCCATGAGGCGAAACCGACCAATCACAGAGCTGGGCTCCACCCAATTCTCTAGAACTTTCAGGCTCAGTATATAGGTCAGCAGCAGCGGTGTGGTTGGTCTCCTCACTCGGACGTGTTCTACCGGCGTGTTGTTGAAGCTGGTCTTGCTGTTCAGGCATATTTTTCTTTGCTTTTAATCTTGCGGTTTGATGAGAGTCGTTCCGGTTGTAGATCGTTTCTGTCGGGAGTTCGTTTCGTTGGCGTCCTCGTGTCGTCTTGTTTTGGTTCTGATATTCCAGTTTTCAGAGATGTCTGACGACAAGGGCGAAACCTTTGCATTCCAAGCTGAGATTGCTCAGCTTATGAGCTTGATTATTAACACTTTCTACAGCAACAAGGAAATCTTTTTGAGAGAACTAATCTCGAACTCCTCCGATGCGTTGGATAAAATTCGATATCAGGTTAGTTCTCAAAATTTCAAGGGGATGTGGGGATGGATGTGGGTGCTGGTTGATGTTGCGAGTAGGAGGCTTCACTGGGATTGATCGTTGAGGATCGTCACTAGGACAGGAGGCGGCTCCGCCGTCAAATAAAATGTACCGCTGCGGCAATGCACACACTGCGCTATACCTCACACGCAAGACGTTTGAAAAATAGAGATAGAGGTCAAGAACGTTTTAAAAACCATGTCCAATATGATTTATGACAAGAAAGGAGTACACCACTGGCATTCTGGCCTTGGCACAAGTCTGCCAGGTAATTTGTGAATGTTTCACATCTCAAAGAACGATGTATCGGATCTTTCATCATGCCACTGTGGACTTAAAACGGCTGTCAGCAGTTCATTTCAGTTCATTTCATTTTTTGACTTTGCTTCTTTTGCAGTCAGATGAGAATACCACGACCACAATAGAAACTCGACTTAATGTGGCTCGGGCCAGGGGGGGGCACCTCGCAACATCGCGTCAAAATCACGGAAACGCTCCGTTTTAGGACTAAGCTTTTGAAGAGGAGAGGAACTCCGGTGTACGGAAGCAATTTTCGTATTCTCCGGAGTTCGTCCCTGCTGTTTAGGCTTAGTCCTAGATGACTTTTCTCAGAGTGCCCCCCCCGAGCCACATTGCGCCATGGAAGTTTAATTAAGAATTCAGGTTTGAAGGGTTTGGTTGACCTGTATATGGATTAGCCTAATGTTGGCTACTGTGTGAAAAGACGCAGTTTCCGGGATTTACGAAATCTTGTATGTGTCATTGTTAGTGATGAAAGAACTAAATCCAGATGGTGGTTCTCCTATTACACCAGCACATGGGTCGTTATAACTCACAGAAAAGGACTAGACCATCGAACTCTTTAGTAATACCCTTTGTGCACCAGTGGATCGTGGCATGGTGTACGCAGGAGTCAAACTTTCCCTCAGTAAGACTGAGGGAAAGGTTGTTAAACGTTACAGTTAGAACACGGAACTCCGGAGCGAATGAAAACTGCTGACGAGCTCGGTTCCGCTTTTTTCAATTAGTCCCAAGACTGGAAGTGTTCGTGAATCTGACGCAATGCTACCTGCTGGCCCGAGCCACATTAAGTCGAGTTCTATTGTGGTCGTGGTATTCTCATCTGACTGCAAAAGAAGCAAAGTCAAAAAATGAAATGAACTGAAATGAACTGCTGACAGCCGTTTTAAGTCCACAGTGGCATGATGAAAGATCCGATACATCGTTCTTTGAGATGTGAAACATTCACAAATTACCTGGCAGACTTGTGCCAAGGCCAGAATGCCAGTGGTGTACTCCTTTCTGTCATAAATCATATGGACATGGTTTTTTAAAGGATAACTTGCCTTGACTTGGGGACGATTTGTTGGCATGTTGGCAAAGTGAATAAGAAAGTTTCTGTTCGTGCAAAATTCCACTATCAATTGGGCACCATTGCTATCTCAATAGGTCTCAAAACTGTGGTTTCGCCTATGGAAGTCGTAAACATGTGTGCCAGCAGTACTGAAAGGGTTAAGGAGCAATCACTCAAGCTCTAAAAGGCTGCAGAATGAGTCTTTGGGAGTTTAATCCGTCACGCGCAAAGCAAACATGGTCTAAAAAAATCGGAGCGTACGATGTGACGAAGTCCTTAGCTCATTTTATAGAGTTTTTACTGGATATTACTACTGTTTAAGGTCGTCTTACGAAGTTGGTACGAGAAAAACAAGCATATTTATCCGGCATCACGATGGGAGCCCTTCGTACCTAATAAGAAGTATGGCCGAACAATTGATGACTTGTCTACTATTTGATAAAATATGTTCAAGTCGATAATATTTGTTTTTTTGTACAATATTGACATTTGATCTCAAAGATTGTGCCTCACCATTAAAATATGCTCGTCGTCTTTTTAGGAAATGAGGTAATTTTACAAGATAGGTCTTCTTTCGCAGTTATTCGTTATTATGGCTTGTCTAATTTATTGTGGTTGGTGATTTTTTTTCCATCTTCTTACTGGCACTCGAAAGTCCAGCTATGTACCAATTCGTTTTTGCACGCTTCTGGTGTAAACCTTGATTCTAAATACATTAAAATAAATTTCTATACTTCTTCACTTCCGTGCGAATAGCTCTTGATTTTTAAACCGCCATGTTCGACTCTCGATAAACCTCGGCGTAGTTGCAGTGCCAATTTATTTGACTCAACAGCACACGAGGTTGATAATGATTCCGTCGGCTAACGTTTCGGCGATTTCGCCTTCTTCGGAGCCTAAAAAGGTGGAAACCAATTCACGACTTATCCGACCAAATGTCTCCTACCCTACGAGACCTTCGAGACCAGCTAAGCCATCACATAATTAATAGGCAGATAAAGTACCGTACCTTCCAGATCAGCGGAATCAGCTCACAGGAACGACAGTATAGCTGTTATCTCTGTTATCTATTTTATAAAAAGTCTGATAACTGCTATACTGTCGTTTCTGTGAGCTGATTCCGCTGATCTGGAAGGTACGGTACTCTATCTACCTATTAAATTATGTGATGGCTTAGTTGGTCTCGAAGGTCTCGTAAGGTAGTGAAACATTTGGACGGAATCATTATCTTTCTCTTGTG